TTTTCTTTGTTTTCCAGATCTTGCCTTGACTCCAACAGTTCCATGTAAGTTTTGTTCCTTAACAATGCTTCTCACAGTTGAAATTGTTAGCTGGACACATTTAGAGATTTATTTTAATAGCTGTAACAAGCCAAAGAAAGGAAAACCTCTAAATAGCATAGCAGTCAATAGACAAGAATTGTTAATTGAATAGAATGTGCCCTAAATGTCTCTGCACACTTAACAAAGAGGAGAGTTTAGAATGCATTGTGTTGCAAAAGAAGATCCCTACCCAGTTTGGGAGATTCCAAGAATAAAGATGCACTTATATAAGAAGAAAAGAAGTAGATTTTATTTTAAAACTGTTACCCTTCAAGGTGCAAGGAAAGATCTGGGCTATCTTGTGAAGGACCCTGCCTTGGGTCTGACACTCATTGGAGTCCACAGATAAGTCTCAACACCCCATACATTTGAGTGGGATTTTATAGGATAAACATACAACTACATGACCCAACTCCATGGTCCCTGCCTACAATTGCTATTTATGAGACATAGTTGCCCATCTTACATGTGCATATTTTTGCTGTTCCCATACATTATTGAGACTAGCAATGTGCCAATAGCCCATTTCCAGTCACTCCAGAATTTAGTAGCCATTTATCTCTTCCATTAATGTGATTTAGGTTGACTTCCAGATGAATTTTTAATCCTAAACAATAACAATCGCTACCTGATTCAGCATGCCACAATAGCCTTCCTCTACTTTGTAAGCATGAATTATCTTCATTTTCAAATGCTCAGACAGCTGCTAAGAGGAGCCCTTAATTGTTGAAAGTTACAGAACAACCACCACAATCTGACAGGTGAGAAGACTCAGAGTATTCACTGGTGGAATTCTTTTTGCCTGGCTAAATAATCAACCACATTATTTGGGCCTTATTAACAACTTAGAGGTTTTTGTTTTTTTTAAAAAAAGTAGCACTGAATCAACTGGAAGAATGTCCAAACTTCCACACCTGCTACATTCACTTTTTTCTTATTCTGAATCTATAAACTGCAATGAAATAACAAGTATGCATTCAACTTTGCAAAAAGATGTTATGTTTAACTTTGTCCCAAGTAGAGTTGTGTCAGCAAAAATTTCTGTCATGAAGAGAACCATCGAAACATACAATTTGACCCGGGTATTCAAACGTTTGCATGCAGCTGTATATATATGTCAGAGTAATTACAAATAGCAATCCATGTTATATTATCCCTGGGAAAAATAGTTTCAATGGCATAATGGAAACTTTCTAAACAAAGCTAATATTGCCCCAAAGCACTTAGCAACAGCATTAGTATGAAAAGTTAAGAGCCAGGTGGCAGCTGACTAAATCACCATGTCAAGAGCACATGTGACTTCTGATGGTGCACTGGAGGCCCGAGCTATAGCAACCAGAAAGCTACCGTTTGAGGAATGATTCATTACAGCTTATTCCAGTTTCCTCATTATTTTCTGTCAATCAACATAGGAAGAGAATTACTTCTGATGTGTAAAGAATGAGGAATGGTGAAAAGACTTTTAATACCATGGGGATATACCTCCTTTGTGGAATCCAAAATAGGTCATCTTGATTTGGGGCAAATCTCCATAAAATCCAAACAAGGAAATCTTTCTTCTCTGGATTCATATTAGTCATGGAGAGCAATAGTATGCCCTGAGGCCTTAGTGTGCCTGAAGACAGCTTGTTGCTTTCTGCTCCACCTAAGTTTTAATTTAAAAAATATATTTAATGAATACTTAATATTTAATTAATGGAAAACAAAGCACAAGCTTCTAGTATCACCTTTATTTACAAAGATGTTTTAAGCTTCACCCTTCAGGCATTCTTGGGAAATAGCAGTAATGGGAGGCTGCAATCCAGTGCTTTGTTTGAAATGTGCCCCAAATCCTCCCCCAAACCTAAGTTGGGTGGCAACAGGGGTCAAACAAGTCAATATGGAGTCTGTGACTGCACAACTAAACCACTGCCCCTTTTTTATATGCACTGCAGGTGCCATGTTGACTTCTTTGATCACCTTGTGGACACCATTGGATGGGAAAGAGCATCTTGGAAGACTAAAAGACATGGAGGAGAGTAATTCCACCAGTTACCCTTCTAGTAGATGAATCTTTGTGATTTGTTTAGCCCTTTTATGGTCTCAGAATTCCAGATATAATTCCACTCTTGTTTTAAACTGAGGAATATTGTTAGGAATTTATTGAGAACTGGCTTGAATTCCATTACTGTCTAAAGGAAATTAATGCCTTTGAGGAGGAAAAGCCCTCACATTAAATAATTTAAATTGATATCATAGTTAAAGAAATGGTAACTGTAATTTCATTCTCCAGAAATTAGACATGCATTATATAATAAATGAAAAGAAAAAAAACCACGCAGTGAATGTAATTATTATCCTGACATGTTTATTTCCAAAACTAGCTGCTGCCTGTGTGATTTACTAATTTATGCATCTATTATATCAGTTCAACGCCAAAACTTCTCAAAGCAGATATCCTTTGAATTTCAAAGTTAAAATCCAAAATGTCATATTTCTGATAAAACAAAGATATAAGAACTTTACTTTTCTCTGTTTTTAAAGCTGTAGTGAAAGGCCTAAGCTGTCTGAACATGGAGCTTTAAAAAAAAATATATATATATATATTCAGGATGACAATATCTTTCTGATCAATACAGTGTAGATTATTTAGGGGGTTCTTGTAACTACAGTATCCTGAATTATTGTGTATTAAACTTGGAACTTAGTACATTTTAATTAATTTTGAATAGTTTCAGGGCTGTCCTACAAAATTAAATTTTATTAGTGCTGATATGATGGGGTTCCTCCCTAACTCAAGTAGTCTGAGTACCTACAGATAAAACAGCATATGGTCTACTATGGTTCAAGCTTGCCTTTCATGGCCATAGTATTTTATCTCATAGCCTTGTATTTTTCTATGCACAAACCTTTGATAAGAACTGTTTTCATGGGGCTTGTGTATGGCAGCTGTTGACTGTTCATTCTTAATTCTTAGACTGACTTCTAAGAGTTTGGTACATATAAATAGTTTTGCAAAAAACTAGTGTTACCTTTTAAGAAACATGTTTAGACTATCAGCATTCTCTTGGCATTATAACAATTGATAAGTCTGCAGAAAGAATAATTGTGACCCACCTGCCTTCTATAGAAGAACTATATACTGTGAGGGTGAAAAGGAGGGCAGAGAGGATATCT